CAACCTAGTGATTCTATGATACTACATAGGAGTCTTGGGACACATGGAATGCAGTGGAAGAGCATTTCAGATTGCAACAGACTTACTAGAGGTTGATGAGGCACCTGCAGGAGTTGGCTGCCAACTGCCCAAGAGACTGTGGAGTCTGGGAGTCAAATGAGATCAGGCAGCATGTGTCTGTGTGCATGTGCATGTAAGCGTATGTGCCTGCAAGCACAGTGGGGAGATGCTAGATCCAAGGCCAGCTGGTGGATGGAGTGGATGCCTAAGCCCAGTTACCAGCAGGATCATGTGCCTGTGTGCCTACTGGGAATACATGCTCAGTTTCACCACTGGTTCAAGCTGGGGCCGGGAAGCTGTGGCAGCCTTGCCCATACTAGGGTACTGGATTTGGAAATCTCATAACATAGAATTTGTCTTCTTACAGTATGCACATCCTGAAATAAGCAGATTTTGATCCTAAAAAGAACATACGGGCCTCATTCCACCAAGCAAAACATGTGAAGATTCAAACATAACGTAAAGTTTACAGTCCAATTTTAGCAGCTCATATACACATAACAGACCTGTTCTTAAACTAGCTGTCAAGTAACAGCAGATATGACCAGCATAGTTCTCTTTACATTTTGCTTGCAGTCTATTAGTATTTTGTTCTTAAATGTGGTGTTCAATCAGATTCATAGTAGTCAGCATTTTGGTCAAGTCAGGCCACAGAGAGAACAAACCATAATGTTACTGGTAGAATAACAATGCTAATACTACTTAACTGCTCTGCAGAATCTTGTCTTTGTAGGACTGCACAGTGACCATCATTCCTTCACAACTTTAAATATTTTGATCTTATTCACCAAAGCTCAGTTATTTTTGGAGATACTAATTGAAGCAAGTCACAGTTTTTAGTAAATGCAATTTACCTTTTTCATGCTGTTTTCTGACCAGGTTTCCATCCACAACACCTGACATTTCTTGTACAGTGCTGGATTACTTTCACAGTTTATTGTGAAATTTAAATTGGTAGAATCCATGATCAAGACAACATGCAGATTTTGTTGGATCCCTAAGGAAATGCAACATATTAACTATTTCACAGATAACAATCTGACTATAAGATCGCAGATTTCTTGCAAATACAACATAATCTACTGCCCTTCAAATACTTATCAGAAGGTAATTTCTGAAAAATGTTACCACTACACCACATCACACTAGGGCAGATAAACAGAACTTAAATTAATTTACTATAATGGATTCTCATCATATAAATTACAGTGTATCTTTTTTATTTAGTAGAGCTGACAGTATTTAAATAGAAACCATTAGTTCTTGTTCCAATCAACACAGACCAACAGAACCAATTAGAAGTATTTCCACAGCCCCTGAGTATGGCTGCCAACATCTGTATTATTTCAGTCACATTCTTCTTTTTATTTGTAAGCTATTTAATCTTCTTGTTGGTCCAATGGAGAAACACAGATAATTAAAGACACCTATCTATAAAATTGCTTCAGATTACCCAGAATCCAAAGTGATAACTGAGAAACAGAAGAACACTCTGTTACTAGATATATAAGCCTTCTTCCTTCTAAGTATTTTCATAACAGCTTTGTAGAACATTCATGGATACAACATTTCAGACAGAAGAATGAACTTTCAGCTGAGGGTTCTGTGTCCTCAGATATCACACTGCCTGTTTTTTTACAACCAACTGAAAGTTAAAAATCCACACAAAACAAGAACTACATTAGAAATTATTTGGTCATTTTACGACTTTTGAAACTTTGTAATAAATTATTACTTATAATTCTGTTCACATACGGTATGTGAAATAGTTGAAAATTGGTCCTGTAAATCCATCTTGTGAAGCTTGATCCTTCAGAGGAGACAGCAGTGGTTCCAATTCTTCTATTTTATATAGCCCAGGAACTTCTCCTATTTAAAGAATGAATTTAAAATGTCAGATATAATACACTACAATTCTTCAACTTCCTGTGAAGTATTCTCTTGAATCCTCTGTATAGAAGATCTTCATATAGCAATATTCACCTCCATACTTTCATGAGTATCATCCCATCATGAAAACAACAAAACAAATTATAGTGATTCCATTTAACTTAAGCAGCCTACTTTATATTAATGACGTATACTTCAAATATTCATTCAAATCTACCTCAAGTCAGTTATCCAATACTGCATACAAACCAAAACAAATCAGATTTTGTCATACACCAGAAAACAGAAACATGAAATAGAGTAGTTATCTAGGTCCTAGGAAACAGAGGTTTAACACTGGATGATGAGAATCTAATACTGTAAGGAGACTTGGATCTGGGAGACAGAATAATCTGGTGCTCTTAAAGTACTACAGTTCCAAACACCATTTAGTAAGTTAGATTCAGTCCTTCAAGGATCTCTCTGATGGGGGAACAAAGCTAGATAACAAAACAAAGTCAGTTTTGTTATTTGTTATTATTGTTTATCATTTCATTACTTTCCGAAAAACGGACTTTGCTGGTGTTCCTTTAAGTAAAGGACTCTGTCTGTACAATCTAGTAAAACACTGCCTCTCAATTCTGAATTTTATTAGAAAAGGGAAACTGTAGAATAGAATACATCATCATTTTGTTGTTACACTGTTATAAAGAACTCCTTTAAAATAAGTTACTTACAACTTTGCGGAACTGAAAGCACCCATGCTGTACGGTAGGGTAAAGGATAGCTAAGTGAACTTCAACTCGGTTTCTCATGTACAAGCATTCTACTAAAACAGTGTAGAAAGTCAACTAACACTTCTGGTATGGACATGAAGTTACAAAACATCATATAATTCTGCCTCACTGAGCTAACTCTCTGTGTGGTAAAAGTAATACCACAATCTTTTTGAATTTGTCTCACCTGAAGACAGCAAACTGTTGATCATCTCAAGGAACATGGAATGAACAAACTGATAATCTTCGAGCAGCAATACGACCTGCTGTGCTTCAATGCCCGCAAGCTCCATCACCTAGAAGTAGGGAAGACATGTAAATCTCAGTATATGGAATATATGCATTGCTCATAAGAGAATGATAATCTTTCCTTGATTATATATTACATAACATATTTTCTCCACAGCATCTACAATGTTATCTATTTAGAAAAGATTACTAGTTGATTCAGTTATATGAGATATCAAATACAAAGAACATTCTGCCTAGATGTGAAGCTTGGTAATGAAAAAAAACAAATCATATTTCTTCATGGAGTATATTTATGTTCCAGATATGACTCAGTTACAGAGTTTTATGGCTCTTTTGTGTGGGCTTAGCTTTAGAACTTTCTTTAGCATTGCTGAAGGTACTGGGAAACTCATGATTCAAGGTTTGCATTTGTTTTTACAAAGAATATGTACACTTTCATCAATCACTAAAATTTAACTTGATCCAGCTACTATCCTATTAACTAGCAGACCATAGTAGGGACAGAAAATAACAATACATATAAAAATGAAAATATATACATAAAAAAACCTTTCCAATATTCACATAAACTTAGAATTTATGAAGCCCACAACACCCATAAAAACAGCTCTGGTATTCAAAAAAGTAGTTTCAGGTAATTACTGTAAATAGCAGTATAGACATCGAGGCACTGAGAACTTCTAAAAATCTACTTGTTTCATTCAGACTGTTGATATTTTGCTCTTAAAATATCTCTTCATACACTTTCAAAAGTCTTTTTTCTTTTTTTCTTTTAATACACACCTACATCACTACAAAATGGAAGACACTGAGCGACTTACAGATTTAAGATCATTTTTGAACTGCTTCAGCTCATAGCCTCTGGAGATTTTGGGAGTAATCAGAACAGCTCCGTGCATATGACTCACTAAAGAGGTAACTGTTCGACGGCCCACACCACTCCGTCCTGCCAAAAGAAGTGATCCTCCAGGAAAACTCAGCACTCGGTCCACTTTAGACATACAACTGAGGACTTCTTGGAACAGTAAAATCTCTATCTCTCTTTTGTCTCGCCCATAATGAATAATACCCTATTAAAAAAAAAAAAGAAAAAGAAGAAATCTGTTCACTAATCATAAATAAAAGCAGTAAAATATGAAAGCATCCAACATTTAAAAGTTCAGAAAAGAAGGGCTTGAAAGCTTAAGAGACCATGCTGGTATTCATCACAAATAAATTATTTATGTGACAAAATTTAGATAGCTTGCATACCCTTTACCAGTAATGAACTGGTCACATTAACCCCAGTACCAGGATTCCCTAGCAGTCTTTGATATATTGAAATAGAAATCTATCACGGAATTAATTAAAATTAAATAATGGACCAGAACAAAGTCTGACTTGTGTCTCTGATTAGATATTTAATAATACATAATTTAGAAGAGTGTTTTAGGCAGCTAATTGCTGCATAATTGCAGATTATGTAATTTCCAAGATTAAATTCTGGCCTAGTTATACGTAATAAAACCTCATGTTTGAAGCCCAATGTAATTGTGTAGTCAGAAAAAAAAAAACCCAACTTTCTGATTACTGAGGCTATCATCATTTCCCATGCAGTCTATTGGTCACAGGTTGACACTTAAGGAGGGGGAGTAGTTCCCCATCAACAAAAGCAGTCCATCAAACACTACTGCTAAGGGGAGTTGATCTCAAAGCTCTCATCCTGCAAATCAGTCAGTCTAGCAGACTTAACGTGTTTGCATTTCCTCATCAAGCTAATGTTTTTGTAATTAACTGTTTAAAAGCAGGCAAAAACTCCAAATAATCTATTTGTATTTCTTCAAATAAAAATTATGTTAGCAAATTACAAATTCAGAAAGTAAACATTTAACGAAACACTTTGGTACCCCAACAGTATACAAACATATATGCACATCAATGTTTCTCAGAATGTAGTCCATCAAACTACTGTAAATCACCAACAAATGTAACTGATATCCCTTCATTAAAATAACCTTGCTACATGATAACTTCCTACTGCCCTGCCACATAGACTCACAAGCCTTGTCTCACTTGACCAAATGCAAAAGATGATTCCCTGAACAAGCAGTTGACCCAAGCATAAACCCAGTGCTTGCATGTTACTTCCTGAGAAAAATGTCTAGAATAATTGCTGCGAATCCTTGCTGTGTATATTCTTTAATCCTGTCTCACTTTTTGAATAATATCTTTCAGGTCTGCAGAGTTTAGTCTGCCAAGTGGCCTCCCATGTGGCGGTAGTGCCTGTCCTGGCTTCATGAATGACTCTTGACAAGCTCCCCAAGTTACATAGAAGTTATCTGTGAAAATAAAAGCAAACATTCAGAAGTTTAGGTGCTCAGCTCATGTGCTATCTGACTTCAGACTGATTTGATTTTGATTGGGCAATTCCTAAACAAATATTTCAGACTTGTGTAGTAGTATGCCTCAGTTGGTTTACCTGTCATATTGTCCAGAACATCTGAGCCCCAGTCACCTTGAAAAACTTTCATCAAAATATTATCAAACACATGAAGCTCTTTCATGCCAACAATTTTGTCACAGAACAAACGTTGTGCTTCGTAAGCAACTATTTCCAATACACAGTCTGCAGTTTGTAACGATGATCCTACAAAATTTAAAGAAATATTTAACTTTATGTATTTATAACAAATGTTACATTTCTCAAATTTTCCTTTTCAAAGTAAGAGATTTCAAGTGAGTAAGTAAAATTACATACCAGCAGGAGAGCATCGGTACAAAAGGAATAAGAGAAAAAGTAAACATTATGAAGTGCTTTTTGATAATATCTCTATGGATCATTCGAGGACAAAATGAAACATATTCTCTTAAAACAAGATCTCCAGCTCAATGACAGCATTCTAATTAAAATTCTATTAATGTAAGAACTGAAACACAATGAGGTGTAATTGCTCATGATTTAAGAACAATAGCAACTTTGGAGAAAAAAAGATTAAAAAGAAGCCTATGCTGTCTATTTGGAAAAGCACACAAAACTGAATACTTTTACAAATGTCACCATTTGTAAAGTTAAGGAAAGAACTTTCAGATTAGACTGTGATTATCAAGCATTCCCAAATACTGAGAATGTTTAGGCTCTTATATAGATATTTGTAAACTTTTACACAGATGGGATGGTTTTCTAGATGTTTGTTATACGTTTGAAGGTGGTTATATTCTTCTTTTGTTAAGTATGTTACAGATGATGTGTATCAACTGTAGTTCCACAGTCATCTCACCAGGTTTGTGCAAACCAGTATAAAAAGACAAGCATGAGGGGCAAGTCTCTGGTAATCTAGAAGACAAGACACAATGCTCAAAAAAAACAACCACCAACACGCCTGCCAAAAAAAAAAAAAAAAAAAAAAAAAAAAATGGTAGGGAGTAGGGGGCACACTTCAAGGTCCCATAGTAGAGAAAGCAGTCTCAACCCACTAGCTTCTCTTAAGCTATAAATAGCTTCCACACATAATTTAAAACATCATTTGAGTTTTTCAAACTTGTTTACTATATGCTGTGGAATGAACTGTTAGGCATTTTTCTCCACTGTTGAGTTACAGCCAGTTCATGGTATAGAAAGAGAACCATACGTGAACGAGTTGCATGGGGAGTAAACAGTAAGACTGGCATCAATAATAATTTAGGCCATTTTAGAACTGTATTATCAATGAAAACCAAGTAAGTGACTTACCACCTGCTAAATCATATCTGAATAAACCAAGAACCCACTGAGTAAGAATACGTGGTGTGAAAAGGTAATGACTGTGATCATCAACTGTGAATTTCGCTCGTACCTAAAAATGGAAGTTAAGAGAGGAGGGGAAGTGATGTTTTAAATATAGAGCACTATGTAGCTTTAATTTTTTCTGAAATACAACATAAATTATTTTTCTATTTGAGAGCAGCTTCATAATATTTTGCTGGCCACAGTTTAACCACATCTTTATATTTAGATATTTTATTAATTCACTCTCCTTGTTTTAAAAAAGTGCAGAGATTAATTGTTTAAATCTTGTTCTCTTACCACAAAAGATTTTATCATAATGAGCACATTTCTTCTGTGCCATTTTTGCTGCAAACAACTACACATATCACCTAGGACTATTAGTTAGTGCAGTACTATTAGACAAAACACACAATTTTTTTAAGCAATACCAAGTATAAAATGAAAAGGAAATATAAAAGTATAATAAAAAACTACTTAAATCATTAACAATCACTACAAAAGACTTCTTACAAAAATACTAGTTCTTCCCTGAGAAAGGATATTTAAATTTACAACTCTATATTTAATTCATAGAATAACTGCCGTCATTAGTTGTTTGGTCCCAGTGTGACATTTTAAACTTAGATTTCTTAGAATACATTGATAATATCATATGAAACTCCTGCTAACTGATGAATGCTAGCCAGTGACTATATGAACATTTCAGTCATAAAAATCAAGTTTATATCATGGTTCTGTCTAGATGGGGACATGGATACATTCTTGGAACACAGAGTAAACACCTACATCCCCAGAGTTCCTACTCCAGTAAGGCTATGTATATGATTAAGAAAAGCAAGTACTTTAGTGTTTTGCTAGGCAGAAGTCCATAAAATTTTAAGGGAAAGGATAAAAAGTGTGTCTAAACACCTATTTTTAACAGTGTAAAATGTCAATAGGTAGTCCTTGATGTGTGAAAAGGACTCCATCCTTTTATACCCCTTATTCATAACAGCATTCATAATATCTGAGCACATAATCTTTGAAGTACACTGACTCCTTATGCACCTCCTCATCCACTACTATCCACATTTTATAAATCAGGAACTGAAAGCACAGATGGGTTAAGATGCTTGCCAAAAATCACACAATAAATCTGTGGGAAAGCAAGAGCACTTACCGCTTATTCAGTTTGCCTAAAATGCCTAGGATTCTCTGCAAATAAGAAGCTCTAAAATTGATAGTAGTATTATTAAAAGATATAAACTTGGATTTTAATATTGATAAACCTTTTTATTCTCTTACTATTAAAAGCTAAATAATTTTTTTAAATCTGAATTTTCCATCTAATTGAAAAAAGAAACTCAAATTCCATACCTGTTCATACACTTGAACCATAGATCCTGCTAGCTGATGTATTTTTGGTAAAGAACCCCAGACAGGGTGATTCTTTAGCTTTTCCTGTAGTACAGGTTCTAAGTAGGCACTATAAATAATTTGCAGTTGGTCTCTTTCTGGATAGCTACAAAGGAAAAAAAGAAATTAATCATTATAGACTATCACTGATCATTTTTTCATTAGAGGTTCAAAGTTATATACACAATTACTCAGAAATTTCAGTGAATAGCATCTCCATCTAGCAGCTAAGTAAAATTATCATTTTATTGCAATAGGGCACCCTCAGAAATTTTCTAAATGCTTCTCTAAATATATATAAACTTAAAAACAAACAACTTTTCAATTTCTCTAATTTTGTAACCAAACAGCACCTTAATATTAAGGTGCAGAAAGCAGTTTTGCCAGATCTTCACAAAGAATAATTGAGCAAGGGCCTTATAAAGCAAGGCTGAATCTGAGTTCTGAGACTCAAACTGATTTCCACATACTTACTCAATTGCACAGAGACGAACAATAGAAGTAAATCTGGAGGTAAGTTTATGTCTTCCTAATGTTCCTCCAGCAGACATGGAAGCCACAATCTGGATGTTTTCTAAACCAACCCATTCCAGATTTTCATCATAAAATCCTTGATATGTAAGAACCTTTAATAATTAATCAAATATTTAATTAAAAGAAAAGCAACAGAGTATCATACAAAAAAAATTAGTTTTCTTTATTGCTAGAGATACATTACTCCTCTCAGTTAGGTGGCAGCTCCAAACTCGCTGAGAGTACACGTTACCCCACTGTCTAGATCATTAATGGAGATGTTAAACAGGTTCTGGCTTCCAACTAGACTTTGTGCCAATGATCAGCACTCTCAGGGCCTGGCTGTTCAGCCAGTTCAACCCACCTCACTGTATGCTTATCACATACATCAACACTTTTTGGGAGATAGTATCAAGTGCCTTAGACAAGTACGGGTAGACTATATCCACTGCTCTCCCCTCATCTAGCAGGTCTGTCATTTCATCACAGAATTTTATCAAGTTGCTCTAGCATGACTTCCCCTTGGGAAATCCAGGCTGACTCATGATTTTCTTGTCATCCACATGCCTACTGCATTATAACTCATTGTCTTCATTTATTTATGCTTATAAGCCAAATAAAAATGTATCTTATTTCTGGCTGACACCTATATTTTCTATCAAAGTACAAATTAATGTCAATACAGATGCAGGATGTTAACTCTGAAAATAATCAATGTAGGTATTTACTACATACACTAAACTATTTCCAGTACACTTACATCTCTATAAATAACAGACATATGTGCTCACCTGCTGCAGAAAAGCCACTAGAGTACTTGTTCCCCATTTATCAGGCTTGGGCAAATTGATATCCTTTAAGTAGAACACAAGCCTTTCACAGTCCTTTGGTCTGTACACTCGCCCAGTGTTTGTACTGATTACAATGCAAGTTTGACTTAATTTTTGAAGAAGATGTTGAGAAGTAGTTTGTGCACTGCAGTGAATGGTAGCAATCTGAGTGGATCGGAGTTGAGAAAATGCATAATGAAGCAGCATCCTAAAAAAGCAATTATGTACATACATATAAGCTTAAGGAATACATAAATGCATTAAAATACTGTGTATCCAAAGATATTGTAGAGTTTTACAATTAAAATGCATCTAACTACATACTCTATTAATGTAATAGTAATAAATGAGGTTTGCTGAATTATTTCTTGCCTCTAAAATAGTAGTATTTTCCATTCAAGAAATTCAATCTGTAGTATACAGCTACACAAAAAAAAAAGACCCAGCCTAAATGCCTTGTATATAGTGATCCAACCCATCTTAATAGGAACCTAAGAAAGGCAATGGGACTCAGTTGCCTACACGCAGGCATCTAGTGCATCTCGAGACCAGACACCTCGTGCCTTTCAGCTGTCACTCCATGACCACAGAAGGTTTTCCAAAGGTCCTGTTTATTATCTAAAAGCCTCATTCAAATGTCTTAGATGCATAGTGGCAGCCTGAACTTTCCCTGTAGATCTTCATAAGAATTTACCTATTTGCCACTACAGATGGTTTGTTTCATTAGTAACCTAAACAAGTGATATTCTAGCAGAAAGTAATAGGATAAAACCATTATAACAAAACATTACAAACTTCGTCAAATATCTAGAATTCCATTTTGCTTAAAATAGGAAATACTTTTTACCCCTTTCCACATCCTTCCGGACCAACAAGAAGAAATGACTGCTTATTGTTAAAGTCTAGCCAGGGTTTAAAGTAATCTAAACCTCTCTGTATGTCAGGGGTTTGGATGACGGGAAGGGTTTGGAGATTACTGAAGTCATCAGCTGTTAGATTTTCAGGTTTTTTCAGCTGATACAGCATTAGCTGTCCAGTGTCAGTGTCATAATATGTGTCCAGGAGCTTCCTCGGATCTGGTGGAGATTCTTGTGCCCAACTGAAAATCTTAGGAAAAAAAATAATAAAGCTTCTGTTAAATCCATATTCCTAATGACAAGATCTATAATTTCAAGCTAATCTAAACAATATTCAAAAAAATAAATCTGTAAAATCAAACATTTAAATCTTCGATTTGACAGTTTTAAGGCTGACTTTGAAAATTCAATCATGTTATGCATATGCTTTATGATAAAGTTCTTAACAGTAACACTCTTCGATATACTACTTTTTCATAATATAAAGAATAAAAAATAAACTGTATTTAGCAAAGCTTTATATAAACTTTTTTCATATTATACTACATACTTAATCATAAGAATGAGATAACTCCTTCACATGCATCAATAGCTTGCGAAACCTCTATCCATGATATTTGAAAAGTTGTGGCGGTCTGTTGAAGTTACCACTGACTGGAAAAGGGGAAACATAACACCCATCTTTAGAAAGGGGAAAAAAAAGGAGGATCTGGGGAACTACAGGTGAGTCAGTCTCACCTCTGTGTCTGGCAAGATAATGGAGCAGATCCTCCTGGAAACCACGTAAAGGCACATGGAAATGAAGAGGTGATTTGTGACAGCCAAAAAGGCTTCCCCAAGGGCAGATTGTGCCTGACAAATATGGTGGCCTTCTACAATGGGGTCACAACATTGGTGGATAAAGGAAGGGCAACTGATGTGGTGTTCTCCAGGGGTCAGGTATTCGGACCAGTACAGTTTAACATCTTTGTCAGCAACATGGACAGTGGGATTGAGTGCATCCTCAGCAAGTTTGCAGGTAACACCAAGGTGTGTGGTGTGGTCAAGATGCTGGAGGGAAGGGATGCCATCCAGAGGGACCTTGACAGGCTGGAAAGGTGGACCTGTGGCCACTGCATGAAGTTCAACAAGGCCAAGGGCAAGGTCCTGCAAACGCGTCAGGCAAACACAAGTATAGGCTGGGTGGAGAGTGGATAGAGAGCAGCCCTGAGGAGAAGGACTTGGGGGTACTGGTGGATGAAAAACTGGACATGAGCCGGCAGTGTGCGCTGGCAGCCCAGAAAGCCAACCATATCCTGGGCTGTATCCAGAGAAGTGTGGCCAGCAGGTCGAGGGAGGGAATTCTGCCCCTGTACTCTGCTCTGGTGAGACCCCACCTGGAGTGCTGCGTCCAGCTGTGGAACCCTCAACATCAGAAGGATATCAGCGTGTGGGAGCGAGTCCGGAGGAGGCCACAAAGATGATCAGAGGGCTGGAGCACCTCTGCTATGGGGACAGGCTGAGAGAGTTGGGCTTGTTCAGCCTGGAGAAGAGAAGGCTCCGGGGAGACCTTATAGCACCTTTCAGTACCTGAAGGGGCCTACCAGGAAGCTGGGAGGGACTTTTTACAAGGGCCTGTAGTGACAGGACAAGGGGTAATGGCTTTAAACTGAAAGCCGGTAGATTTAGATTAGATAATCAGGAAAAAAAATATTCATTGAGGGTGGCAAGGCACTGGAATGGGTTGCCCAGAGAAGCTGTGGATGCCCCATCCCTGGATGTCTTCAAAGCCAGGCTGGATGTGGCTTTGAGTAACCTGGTCTAGTGGAAGGTGTCCCTGCCCATGGCAGGGGGGTTGGAACTATAAGATCTTTAAGGTCCCTTGCAACCCAAACCACTCCATGGTTGTATGGTACACAACACATATACACAGCCTGTTATAGTGCCTCCTGGCATAAAACAGTATGGTCAGAGGCCATTCTGTATCTCTTGGTACAGCACCAAAGGATTGTTATCTGAGCTGGATGCACTTATCAGTGATCAATGACATATGAAAAAAGTAAAAGTAAACGGCATTTACTTCTCAGCTATTTCCTTATAGACAATACAGACAGCAAACAAATTAGAGCACAAATATTCTATTACTGTAAATTTGCATTCTTAGAAGAAAGACAGGAAAATCACTATTCCTACTAAATGTACTGAAAACTTCTAAGGAACTTGCTGAAAAAGATGATTACCTCTTTTGCAAATTCTTGTCGTGATTTCATGTTGAGATTACCACCAAGACCACGTAACAAGTTAATGATAAACTGTCCACGATCAGTGCATCCATGAAGATGAGACAGTCCATTCATCACAGTTCCAACTAAACTTGTTTCTACCACAGAGTCATTCTGTAAATTGCAAGTTTTAGTAGATTTAGATATATTTCTAAAATAAATGTGATGTATTGCTAGAAGACTATTACTCATTGCTCTTTGACATTCCAAAATGATGAAAGATTTCAACACTGCTCTTCTTCTAGAAAGTTGACTTGACATGAAATTAGTTTTAAGCATTGGTTTGGAAATTTCAATTCCAGACTACATATTCATGTAATTTAGGATAAGCAATCAGAACTTTCCTTGAAAATTTTGAGAATCAATAAGAAATCAACATAACTGTATACTGCAAATCTTTCTTGTGAATGGATTCTTTATGGATTTTGCTTTTTAGGACCAAAGGGGATTTGCAGTCTCAGGATCAATATCATGGTTTTTCCTCTATATCCATCTGAAGATACTTTAAGCATCTCCATGGGTGAAAGAGCCATGAGAGGAAATTATACCAAAAACTCATCAGAACCATATATGTTCCCCAAGGAGAGATAATGCAGGTATCCCGAACTCTCGCTTACTGGCCACAGCTGTGGATATTTCTCCTAAATAATGTTTTGTGCAATACAGGCCACTAGTTCAATGCAAATGCAGCTCCTTCAGAAGAAGGGGAGACAGGAAAGCATCTGGAATCTTTAAGTAAATCTAGCATATACATAACAATTGCCTTGACTTACATCCCAGAATCAGAGAATCCAGATAATATACAAGGTTTTAGACTACCCTTTCTAATACTCTAATTACATATTACCTTTCACCTATTAAAACATCTTTCAGCTAAGGTTTTGAGTAGAATCCTGAAGAGCTAAAGTTTTATGCTTAAATCCAGAACAGATTAGTGGGAGCTGTTAAAATTTAGCATTCTGAACAATCAGACTACTTTTTTAGATATGCCTGTATCAATCTTTTTAGGTATCTACCATTACATTTCTCCCAAACCTATACAAGGTTCAGTCTACAATGTGTAACATTTCAAATTTTAGCTATTTTTTTGTTACAGACAATAACTGAAATCTAGAAAAACAAACATTCACTTTTCTATTTTATAGTTTAGACATTCAGATCTTTCAGTTCTTTGAAAACATATAGAAAAATGTCCAGAATGGAGTATTAATGAGTACTGGGTTTGTGTGGCAAGGTATTGGTAGCAGGGGAGCTACAGGGGTTGTTTCTGAGAGAAGCTGCTGGAAGCTTCCCATGTCCAATAGAGCCAATGCCAGCTGGCTCCAAGATGGACCCACCGCTGGCCAAGGCCGAGCCAATCAGTGACGGCGGTAGTGCCCTTGGGATAGCGTGTTTGATAAGGGGGAAAAAACCCACTGTGCAACTGCAGCCAGAGAGAGGAGTGAGTATGTGAGAGAAACAGCCCTGCAGACCCCCAGGTCAGTGGAGGAGGAGGAGGACGAGGAGGTGCTCCAGGAACGGGAGCAAAGATTCCCCAGCAGCCTGTGGTTCACACCATGGTGAGGCTGGCTGTGCCCCTGCGGCCATGGAGGCCCATGGGGGAGCAGAGAACCCCCT